AAAGGAACAGTGTAAACAGTCTCATAAGTAAATGGATAAAGCCTAAAGCGTATATTGTAAATAGGCTCTTAAAATTTATTAGGATCTTCTTCAGTAGTTTCATAGCCGAATTTTTAGTTTTTTATATGGTAAGTCAGCAAAAATCAATTGATTAATAACAGTGTTTTTTGCAGTCGTCTTAATAGAAGTATATACTCGTATTATATTATCTATAAAGAGACCCCATTTACAAAACGAATGATTATATTCTACTAAATTGTAAATATTTGGAAAAATAAAAATATGGATTATAAATTGAATTTTACACTTTATTTTACATAAATATTGTATGAATTTTATTAAAGTAATGTTTTACATATATTTTATAGCAGAAATATTTTTCTGTTTTGAAATTTCCATATCATCAATCTTCATATCAAATTTAATTTAATTGTTTACATTCAAAGTTTTATTAGTTTTATTGCTTAAATATTAATGAATCTTATTCAAACACTTTTTTGAGTGCCCATAGAGTTTGGTTATTTAATTATTGATTTTTTTTTGTTTGCATGTAGAAACTTATGCTAACTTAATTAATTCTTTAATTAATTAATAATTTAATTAATAATCAAATAATGCTTCTTTTTCGTATTAAATTTGAAAAAATATTTTTTTATTAAATATAACTTTTTAATAATATGATTTATAATAAAAATATTATATCAGCTCTTATTTTTAATAAAATACCAATTAATTTATTAATTATAAAAAATGTTTAAGGAGAAAATTGGGTTGAAGGCATTTAAAGAACATTTAGAATATTTTTTCGTTTGTCGTTTCTTTGCCAATATAATTTTTATAAAATTATGACAGAAGCATTTACAACTAGAAAGTAAACAAATATTTTAAAATATTCTTATAATTTTTATAATATTTTTATTTATTTTGTAATATAATTATTTATATTTAGCTATCAACTATTGTACCTTTTATGGTAACATAATTCCCATTTGTTGAATTTTCATAGCTTTTTTTTTAAATAGTTTTTGTTTGTTATTTGCCTTAAAATTATTGTTCACATTATACTCAGCGTTTGTGAAATTTAAACCTTAACAACAAATCTAGACTACCTTCTTAGTTTAGTGAGAATATTGTTATATTGAGGCAGGCTAACTATAATTAGATACAAGTATTATTTAAAGTTTATTATTACAATTTCAAAAAAAAAAAATAATAATAAAATTGTGCACCATTTCTACAAAACTTGAAATTATATTATTAGAGACATGTTTCTAAAAGGTTGATTAGCAGACTTCAGATCATTTATATATATATATATATATATATATATATATATATATCACTTGTTGTATGCGAAATATACCGTTTAACATCTTTGAAGGTATTTGTCTTAATTTTAAAGAATGATGTTAGTATTATGTTCCACGAACATTGGTTTAGAATGCACTCCTAAAAAAATCTGATGCTTTTATTGTCGAAATTATTTAGAACATTTTTTTAATTGGCCGATTTGAAAAATGTAGTCAAACAAATACCTTGTTTTAATTCAAATCTGAAAAAAAAAATAAAATGTACAAACACTCTATCTTATCACATGAAACTGTCATACTAGTTTAGTTACTGATTACTAAAATGGATAGCTAAAACTGTTATTACTGAAGAAAACATCTGAAAAATGCTTCAAATGGTGTTGGATGTTCATAGTATACAAATAGTATACAAAAAGTTTGCTAATGAAGTGGACACTTTAATTGACTTCAAGCATACTACTTTACTTACAGATTACCATTTAGGATGGCTCTAAACAGTCATCAACTTAAATGATATTAGATGATCTTCCACTAAAAACTAGATGATCCTGACCTGAAACCGGAATCACATAACTATTTCTAAAGTTCACTCTATTTAAAATGGCAAAACAAGGTTAATTTTTTATTGCAGATTTCAAATAGTTGTTGAAATAAAGATCTACCACTAATACTCTGGAAACATCAAAATAATCAAAACAGACGATTTAAAATTTAAAAGATCGTTAAGGAGGTAGACTACTTTCAGCCAAAATTGATTTTTAGGTATGTTTCTGATTTGGAAATAGGCTGTAAAGTAATTGCCCTGTGCAATGTAACTAAATAAATTGAACTTTTAATTAGCGCAAAACTTTTTAGTTTACAAATGATGGACAAATGATGGAGCTTTGTTTCGCCAAGACAGTCATTCAAGCGAATAATATGCAAATAAAATTATTTATAATTGCAGTGGACGAAGGCTCAAAAAAGTTTTTCTTTTAATAAATCTATATCCGTAAATTGGAATATTGCACTTAATATCTAAACTAAAAATGAACACGATCTACCAAACAAGTTGCTTATTTACAATAGAATTATTGTGAATTATTATTAATAAATTTTGCATATCGAATGTACCTCATTAGGAAATTAACTGAAAATTAGAGAAAATAAAATATGTTTTTCAAAAAATCTATTAGTACTACAAAGCATTTAAAAAGACTCCAGAGATTGCTTGCATCTTTTAGATTTTTTAAGCGATGAAAAGTGGAAAAATATTTTAAATTGAATAAATGTTGGAATATGTAAGGGACCCTAACATATATCACTCTTTTTGCCTAGACTAAACTAAACAAATATCTGAAGTTCATGCAATACTTGCTTAGTAAAATATTAGCAATAAAATTAAAAACTAATTATGGTATGCGAGTAATCCTCCACGATTTTTTTTTATTTCTCATATTCAAAACGACATTCAAAAGACAGAATTCTTCAAAAATAGATAAGGGCGTAATTGTAGATCAAGACCATAAGCATCTAAACACGCGTTTCAAACTATGGTGTTCATGGACACAGCTAGCAGGTTAAGAGAGAGGGGTAAATTTGATGAATTTTTTTTTATAAAAACTTATAAGGAAAAAAATTATGTTTACATCGGGAATCTAATTTCAATTGTTGCACACAACTATCTGATAATGGACATCCTTATTCCTTCATTATAGATCTATTTAAAAGCGAGAAATTGTTTGTTCCAATAAGCCCTCTTTTCACTATCACAAATTAATTTGGACACAATTTTATGGTAGACATTGCCTACCTTGGCTATGTCTGGGATGGTGGTATCAGTGTATTATATCAAGAGAAAGTTACTTTGACAGGAATACTCGTAGAATATACATTGAAGATTAAGATTCTTTATAGAAAAATTAAAAACACTTGTTATTTTTTGAGAATGAATAATATTCATCTAATTTAACTCTCAGCGTTTATTCCCGATTTTCCGGAGATAAAAATCAATCATATAAAGATTATTTATTTGATTAAATATATAATTCCGTACTTATATGAAACGTATTTCATTTTATTTATGTAATAAGAGACATATCTATGTCTTATTCCACTTTTTTTATTTTGAAAAAAGGGATTAAAAAGAAAATTGTTTGTCTCCAAATAGATCTTATGAATGAGAGATATACTGGTTTAAAAAATTAAACCAATGTTGAATAAAAAGTATCAATTCCAATGAAACTATAAATAATATGAATCCAAATAAATTTGCAAAAAATTCGCTTTTTATTCATATTTTATTTATTATACAAAAAAAATCTGCGGTGCACAATTATTTGAAATTTATTTTATTTATTTATTTATGAAAGTAGATATTGTTTTTATATAATATTATTAAGCTTATTAATAATCAACCTGTCAGCATTTTATTGTTTTTTTAGTTGATTTCTAATATATTATCATCTAATATATGGCGTACTCTATATACTTATTATTTGTTATATATAAAAGCTACTTTATAATTTCTTAGCTTATATTTATTTTTATATTTGTATATGTAGGTATTTTATTATATGTAATATTCTTTTATAAAAACTTATACATAAGAAGTCAGCATAGAAATTTTATTAAGTTTTTCTTATCTTTCAATATACGTATATTATACGTTTTTATTATTAGTTTTATTTTAGCATTAAATTTAAATTCGAAGCTTAGGTAAAGTTCAGATTGTAAGTCAAATAGGCACTTTTAGTAGAAATACAATATTGTAGAGTTAAGAGGAAAAAAGTTTTACTAACAATAAACGTTAACAAAGCAAATAGATAAAGGAATTCCTTCGAAGCTTATAATATAATACAATATGTATGAAATATACTCCTGTTCGCTACATTGTTTGCTATTATTGCAAAGAGTTATCTAGGATACATATGTATAAGCCAAAGATACAGGGTGCGCTTAGGTGCAAGCAACTTATTCGAAAGAATATTTTAATGAAAGTAATTCAAGGAAAATTTAATGTTCATATAAGGATGCAAGGCGCAAAGTGTTAACACTGATATGAAATTTGAATCAACCTTAGTAACTTTTGTTAAGACTTGGATGTAGGATACATGAGACCTTGTACACATGTTTGAACTCATTGCAGGATATCTTGTATTGTTAAGCAGCTGCCGTTTCTTATTTGAATTTTTTATTATATTTGATATGTTGTGCAATCCTCGTGATTGAACTTCATTCTCTTGAATTTCTAAAGAATTTCCAACTAAGGAAATTCCAATGCAGTGCAATGTTTTTGGCAAGTTAAACATTGAATGCAGATTATTTTGCATAGTTTGAGTTGGAAACTAGAAATAGCGAATGCAATATAGTAGGGAGTTCGAGGGGATGCAGCATTGTTTGCTGACATGTGGCAATGCCATTTCATAAGCCGGATAATCATACATACTATAACAATAAGTAGAGACTTAAAAGTATCCGCTATTTATGTAATTTTATAATAATAATAATGAAAACCTGATTTCACATTTTTCACTTATATTTTTAATATACATATTTTTGTTTAAAAACTTATTAATGTTTAGCAATATTTTTATTAATAAAATTGAACGCAAAAAAAAAGTTATTAATACAAATTCAGCAGTTTTAAAAAATTGTATATTATTTTTCTAATTTACATTATTTTGTTCGAATTATATGAATTTTATTTTTATTTTTTTTTTTATCACAATTCTCACATTTTGCGCTTCTCTGTGCATTTTCTTTATTGCACCTACTTCCGATTTCTTTTTTCACTTTGATTTTTATTTAATTATTTTTTGTTTTTAATTTCGTTCTTTAAGACCCAAGACTCTCCTGAGCCCCGACAGTTGCTTAGTGGCATTAGCGTTTCCCGTTGTGAGTGGATATGCATTTTGATATGTGACGGGAAAATCTGTCGGAGCCAGGAGTAAACCTCACGTCCGCACAAATTTGTATACCACAAAAAATACCATAAAGGATATACCAACTAAAATGACGGCGGTGATGACTTTAGCGCAGGTATTCAAACCGGATTCATTTGGATTGAGCGGCCGCGAACTCGTATAAGTAGCGGAACGTCTACGTTTTGTGGCCAGACCACGCGCGAGTGCCGGAAACGCTAATGATTGTGTAAATGTTAGTTTATGTATGGATTCACTTAACGAATATGGTCCAACAGAACCACGCGCCGCTGCACGCAGTAGCGCATACTCCAAATCCAATGCATCGAAGAGCGACAAACGTGCCGTTGCTGTTGAGGAACGGCGTCGCCCATGATGTCTGGAGTCTTGCTCTCGATCAGATTGAGGCAACAACCATGGATCGGAGACGCGTTGCTGTGTCCCCGCTCCGGCAGCAGCAGCCAGTGCAGCTGCTGCGGCAGCAGAGGATGAAGAAGAACACGCAACACCGATACCGCCGCCAAGACTAACCGCGGCGACCGATGTTAGTGACGATGTTGTCGATGATGATGCCGAACATAAACGTAAATTTGTAGCGAGGCCATTGTCATGGAATTCAGTCGTATCTTCAATGGATGTTTGATCTGGTGAAGTTTGTGCACGTTCCAATGCTGCTGCATGTTTCATGCGTAGCGCAAATAGACGTGCATGATCTGGATGCAGTAAAGCGCTTGATTTTCTTCGGTAATTTGGAGCGCCTACACTTATGCTGGCCCGTGCACCCATACGTCCACAACCCAAGGAGAGATTTGGTGAACCATGCGTTGGAGTGGTGGCAGGCGATACATTGCAAGAGCCACCTGTTATGTTACCAATAAGTAGCGAAGTACCTGGAGGTGGAGGTAGTGCATTTGGCGATGGCGAGGCTTGCACTGAATCAATACCTGAGTCACCTGCATGTAGTGTATCACAGTAGAGTGAATTACGACGTTCACCTGTGTTTAGTGTTAGATGGTTACCTAGGCTTTTGTTTCTATTATTGCTATTCAGTGCATTGTTACTATTGTTGCCTGTGGCACCAGAACTGCTTGTGGTTGTTGTGGCACTTGTTGCAGTACTACTACCACCTGCGCTATCACCTGTGCTGCTGCCCCCACCACCGCTACTACTACTTGTGCTTGTTTCATTAATGGCAGGGAAAATGAATGACTGACCATCGGCTTCGCCCCGGGGGGAATCCTGTAATGATTACATACATTTACATTGACAAAGTGGTAGTAATTATTGATTTGGTTAATTTTAGATGTAGTGTAAGAGGAGTAAAGTGCACAGAAAGAACATTAGAGGTAAATTTTAAGGAAGCAAGTGAATTGTGTTTTTTATTACAAATTTTAAAATGTGAGTAAAATATGTGTTTATTATTATACTAGTATATTGGTACAAGATATGAGTGATAATAATTTTATTAAAAAATTTTATAAGCAATACTAAGTAAGCTATATATACAGAACAAACTATGGTTAAAAAGCTTTGCGGGTTGTTTTTACAAAGGAAGAAATGAGTTTTATGATGTGTGAGATATATAGTTAAAAATGTGTATGTTAAATATAAAAAAATATAATAAAAAAATTATTAATTTTAGCAAACGCACTTTATATTGCATGTTACATAAATATATATTTTAAGAATATGCACATAAAAGTTTACGAATATTATTTGCATAGAATAAAATATACTTCATGGCGGCCAAAATAAATATTTTCGGATTGATAATTTTATATTTGCAGTTGTTGCACAAACAAGATATCCATTATAAAAATATATCTATTATAATAATAGATTTTGATTGAAAAATACTTAATAAATATCATAGTCTAAATAATATTTACTGCAATAGAGAAATTTAATTTAAAACTTTTTAAATAAAAGTTATTATTTTTACCTGTCTTAAATAAGTATTTCTCTATATATAATTAATATTATAATTTGTTTAAAAAATACTTAATTATTTATTGCTATTGTATAGCGAAAAATAACAATAATTTTTAATTAATTAAAAAATTTTCAAATAATTATAATTGCACTACCTATAAGAAACGTTACTAGAATCTTGTCAGACCTCTCTAGGTTGAATTATTATATTACAAAACTGCGAACTTGTTGTAATGAAACTTGTCAGTTTTTAGGGAAGATTATGAGACCGCAATAGACGTGCTAGAAATTTTCCTGGTACTTCAACACCGAATAAAAAATGACACTCAGTAGGCACTTAACTAAAATTTATCGAAGAAATCGGACTCGTACAAGTACTTTAAATTCGAGAATTGTTTGTAATTCAATAATGTGCTATTTATGTAGGAATATTATTATTTAGAAATAAGGTGTTATTTTTGTTAGTTTTAAAAACTTGAAAAAATTCGAATTTTATGTGTTGAAATATCAATTAAAAATTCCAAAAATTATTTTGAATATCCACAAAATAAAGACCATGCAGATAGCTGACACTTAAAGAAATAAAGAGGCAGTTTATTTATTACTTTGTAGAAACTGTTATTGAAATTTGAATCATCAATAAAATTATATTTTCCTGTTTTATGTAAATAATTAATGGATCTAAGACATATCCATCACTATATATCTTGAGATCTCTGAGTATGTCATTCGTCCTAATGTACCAAGGTACTTTGAAAAGTGTTCTCAGAGCCTGGCTTTGTGGAATTTCTAGCTGACGAATAGTAATGTTATTCGGTTGTATATCAGGTTCTTGTTCTTAGCATTGAGATTTTTATTTTTGAATAGCGATTGGAGGTGATGAAGAATTTTGGCCCAGCTATTTTTTTTCTGTTGAACATGTTTAAACAATGTGAATCGTTTATACAACGTGAAGCCGAGATATTTAATGCTATCCTCCCAGTTTATTCACATATCTCCCATACCCACTCTCGACGGTTTCTGTTTTCACTTACGTTCTGTTCTAACACATTCACCTGATGTACATCCCATAAGAGAGACAAGAGCTGTAATAGAGGAGAGTATGCCATCCAGGCCTTTGTCTAATCTAGAAGTATATTTAACTAATGCCGGCGATACATTTTAATTTGGTGTCTATGGTGGAAAATTGCCTAGGGATTAGATGAATACTAAGGCCACACTATGAGGCTTCTTGAATATGAATGGAATGAGAGTGCCCATAAAATTAGAGAAATCGCTCAGTTTTGGGCTTCTTTATTCGCCTTTGCAGCCATCTAATAGACAGGATTATGTGGTGATATTGAAAAACTATGCTGAGGCTTATAAAGAGAATCATATCGACCTAGGATTATATTGCAGAACTGAGCTGGAAATTCATTACACAAAATTCCTGATGTAATGGTGAAGCATCAGGAGAACAATGTATACAGACCGTACCATTTATTCAATCTTTACAAGAGACATGTACAACTATTTCCCTACAAGATATATAAGGAACTATGAGCGAAATGAACAGGAATACCTGAATTACCCTATTTATATGGTAATTTGAAAGTGCACAAGACCGATAATCCGATAAGGCCTATTTGCAGTCCTGTGTCATGGTACACAAGGCCACTTCACAAACTGTGGCAATATTTTCTTAAAACAACACTTGGTGAACGGATGTCCAAGCACAACCTAAAGAATATGGACGATTTAACAAGACATTTGTTGGATCTATAACCTAAGAAAAGATAAATGATAATCTATAGACGTGAGAGATGTGTATCCACGTACACAAATTTCCCCTTTATGGAAAACTTTACAAAACATAATGAGACAGTGATGGTTTCGAGAAAGATGTCCGATAGAGATATCCATGTTGAAGCACATTTTTGATTATATTTTAAGAAAGGTGAATTACTTCTTTTTTAACTTTGAGTGGTAGCAACAGGTGGAAGGGATTCCTCAAGGAGGAAATTGCGGTCAGCTAACCGCAATTTATGTCATTTGGACTCCAAACTAGAAATTCATTATAAAGCAATATTCTTAGTTAATGGCGTATGTGGAAATATGTCGACGACATACTTCTATATTTGTCTAGAGCTTTCTTAGATAACTTCATGGTTGTGTTTTAGAAATGGACTGGGTATGAGGTAACATACAAAATGGAGGCCATAAATGAGAGGTATGATAACCTACCTGCACTCTCATACCTTGACTATAATATCATACATGCAGCAAACAAATTCTGTATATCATTGTATCAGAAATCCTCCAGTTCACAGCGTATGATTTATCACATATCTCATGTAAGTGCAGCAGCTAAAAAGAGCACAATTTTGTATTATCTGCAGAGGGTACTCCATAGAACCAGTGATCCATATCTACGCCACGATCTATATATGAGTCAGATATTGGCTAATAGGTATTTATATGACTACGTAAGCAGAGAATTACATACCTTGGTATTGAGTTACACAAGCCAGCAGACCAGCAACATCTAACCCTACTCATTATATTAGCATGC